ATGTGAAATATTGCTCAAATGTTGCCCAAAGTGCGAAAAAGTGCTTAAGGGTGCTCAAAATGCAAAATAGTGCTCCAAACTCAAAAAAGTGCTCAAAAGGTGCTCAGCGCAATCGGGAAAGGCCTAGCCGTGTTTTAATGTAATAATGATCGCTTTTTTTCCCAGAGATATACAGTGAAAGACCATATTTCTAATACTAAACTAGAAAAAGGCGATCATTATTACATCCAAACCCGGCACAAGGATCTTTTTTCCCATTAGAATCTTATTCTAAGAAAAATTTAACAAAAAAATGTCCCGAAAAGCGCTCAAAAATACAAACGAAACGTGATAATCCTCCCTGGGCATCCTATAATACTCCTTAAATCGAATTAATTCAATATGGCCGCCGTATCGGTAAAAAGGTCTATTTGGGCATTAGGAAACTCACTACATTGATTTGCTTGTTTGACCAAAGATTAACCTCACCCAAAGTGCAATTTCTCGTCACGAATAATAGCCAATTAAATTACTATTAATAGCTAAAAACTGAAATTATAAAAATATAAATAAAAATATCCCTTTAAGTATATTTAGTAAAGGAGACTGGTTATGAAAGGCGGTAAATATCAAAGATAAAAAAAACGGTGCTGCAGTTTATGTTGGAAGCTCCCTGACCGTGCACAATCCTTTGCTTATGGCTCACAAATAGTGACTGAATAAATCAATGCGATGTAAAAGTTTCTATTGCTTAGTAAGTTCAAAATGATAGGAATGCTATTGAACGCTGTGCACGGTTTGAAAACCATTCCACTTTCTTAACTATGAGTTAATGTATGCCGGCTGCAACGGTTGCATGGAGCCCAGTAATTAACAAGCGGAATTATGTTTGCTAAATTAGTGTTGATTATCCTTGTCATTTCTGTATTTTTGCATGAATTCCTCATGAAACTTGCTCATTCTGTCGAACATGGAAACTACCTTTTCCTCAGATGGCAAGATGGTTAACCTGCGACAAAGAAAAAATAAAGACTTTGAAACATTATATATCCTGATTTATAATAATTTTGCTTTTCCAAAAAGTAATTAAAGTCAGGTTTATTTCACTTTTTAAATAAAAGATACAGGAGCTATTGGAAACAACTAAAAGTTTTCAACGTGTGTAATACATCAGTTATAATTGTTTGCAATATTATAAAGATAAATTTGTTTAAGTCTAAGAGACCAAAGATGGAAGGTGTACCTAAAAAAATACTGGGTCGAGTCACCTTAAGAATTGTCCTTTGGAGGTTACGAGCGAGGCTGGGTCGGAAGTTGTGCCGAATAGCAATATGGGACTGCTTGAGGACATTCGATCGCCTCGGTTTTTGGCTATTTTGAAGTTCCGCAGGGGTAAATTTTATAAAACTTTCACAAGTGTAATTTACAAGTGTAGCTATTGTTTTCAGACTCTTAAACAATGACTACACTTATAAATTACAAGTGTAAAAGTTTTATTAAATTTACCCCAGGACAGGGCCCAATAGACCTTTTTAGCTTGTCAGTTGTTTTTATCCAATTCAGACATCGTGATGTTCTCAGGGGAATTTGCCTTTTGTATTTTCATTAGTTATGCACGCATATGCACGTGGATGCACATTCATAGGACGTCATTTGAAAGAAACAGTTCTCAAGTGTAAAATCACGTGGTCTGCAATGGGAAAACAAAACCTACAACTGAAAAGGTCTGTTGTTAGAAGGCTGATTAGCTCTAATGGGGGGTGTAATTCTAATCCGGCTTTCTTTTTCTTTTGTTCAAAAGTGTTTTCTTGGATAATTTTCCAAGCACTTTTAGAGTATCTTATCATCAAATTGCAGACAAAAAGAATCAATCTGAATTGGCTTTTTACGCTTTCATGTTTGAATTCAAATTTCGCAATAGCCTTGGGTTTTCTTCACCCAGGTTTGAACAACCCAGCATAGGTGCCAAAAAGGTGTCTCCCAAAACAGTCTCCTCCTGGTGAGCCAGTCTCTTGTTCAACTTCAGAGGCCAATTACTCCGTCCCAGCCGATCAGCAACGCGACTTTCCCCATTTCCCAACAAGAGAAACAAGTATATAAAATAATTAATAAAGCGACGCGAATAACAACTTAGCTCTGACCTAAAATGATATGTTCCTTCTTTTTGTCCGAACGAATTTCCCGGTACAGGACTTATACCAGTCGCTTCTAACATCTGCCAGCAGTAGAATTTGTCAGGTGCACAATTCTTAAGCTGAAAAAGATGAACGCATTTCCTAACCTCGTCCCAGGGTCGTCTCTTACTCGTCCCTGCGGGTTGAAGAAGACCCTGGGAATGAGGTTGCACATTTCCGTTGCGGGCTTTGGAATAAAGCCCAAGGGAATCTATATTAGGGAGGGAGCTTAAGCTTCAACGACGGCTACGGCTTCGTCACTGAATAAGTGAATTCGCGCTGCTTCAAACTTTATCGCGTTATTTCATCTCGTTCATTTCGTCAAACATCGGCTAATTTTTCTGGAGTTGCATTCTAAAAGACTATATCAAAGTTCAGGAAAAGAAAAAGAAAGTCATTGTTATGTGTTCACGTCCCCCACAAAACGTGAAATTAGGCATTTTCACGTCGTAGTCGTGCAGTAACGGCAAAGAAATGTACAAAAAAGCGTGATGCACGTGCAAAGTTGTTCATATAGTGCAGAGTTCTTTTTTGCCGTTCTCGATTCCGTCGCGTGTTCGTTGCGTAAGGCTTTGTTCACATTATACAAGATAGCTTTTGCGCAGGCGCGAAAACCGTACCGGATAGTGCTTCTGTTCATACACAAGAACGGTGATTTTGGCGCGATTTCTGTGACGGAGCGAAGCTACGCCGCGCCAATCTCGAACACTGTAGAGCGTCATATGTCGAATAGGTTCTGGCCCTTACACTTTTTCGGTCCGTCGAGGAAGTGAATACGTAGCGGCGGGGATTGGAACCCACTGAGACGAAATAAATATTCAGGAGTGAGATTTGGGACTTAGTTCACCAAGCTGGCTCTCGGCCAACCGCTCAGTACGATGTTCGATGTGTGTGAGCTACTTGTTCAGGTCCAGGGCAGTTGCTGTTTATGCTATACCTAACACCTTTTGGCGTCGAGACGAAACGCTATCCACTATAGCGTTAACACTGCCTAAACTCTCTATAAACCTTTTTACCGATACGGCGGCCATATTGAATTACTAAGATTTAAGGAGTATTATGGGATGCCCAGGGGGCATGAGCACGATCCGATATACTCGCTCAGTATTTACGCGCGCTTTTCGGGCCAACTTGTTTTTTTAAGGTTTCCTAGAAGAAGATTGTAATGGAAAAAAAAAGATCGTTGTGCCGTGTTTGGATGTAATAATGATTGCCTTTTTTCCCCGAGAAATATACAGTGAAGTTCTCTTTTTGCCCGAAAAGCGCGAATAAACACTGGGCGAGGGCTCCCTGGGTATCCCATTATACGCCTTAAATCTAATAAATTCAATATGGCCGCCATATCGCAAAAGGTCTATTGGTTTCGAGGAACTACGCCTCACCTTAGCCTCTTCGACGGCTTTTTGTGGAAGAATAACTTTGGGAAATGCATACAATGAACCAGTAACAGGATTACACGAGACGTCTTTAAGAGAATTCAGCATCTTTGTTGTTATCTTGGCTTTTCTCTGATAAGAATCCAATATGGCCATTTTCTCCTGCGGAAAAATCAACATTTTCCTTCTAAGATAGACGTTTAAGAAATAAATTAAATCTTAAAAACTGAGTCTAAAGCTGCCACTTAGCGGGCATGTGCTGACGTTTTTTCAAACTTATCCAGTCTGATGAAGTTAAATTAATATATGAAAATCATATATGACAACTGCGGGGTGAAGAATTATATGAAGGAAGATCATCGCAGTTACAGCCGCAACTTTTGCACTTGCGAACAGAAAGCCTGAAAAAATTCAGGCTTTTACGGGATTCAAACCCTTGGCCTCTGTAATACCGGTGCAGCGCTCTTACCAATTGAGCTAACAAGCCGACTGGGAGCAGGTCGTTGAATTGGTTCGTATTAAACCCGCGAAAGGATGATGATGGAGTTATGAATACACGAAAATCATTTATGAGAACTGCGGGGTGAAGAATTGTACGAAAGAAGACCATCGCAGTTATAGACGCAATTTTTGCAGTTGCGAAAAGAAAGCCTGAAAAAATTTAGGCTTGAACAGGATTCGAAACCTTGACCTGTGCGATACCGCCCGGTGACCAAAAAGTTACGTCTATAATGGCGATGATCTTCTTTCAGATAATTATTATCCAGTCTGTTAACCTCGATGGCACGTGAACGGTTTTTACACACACTGCCCTTGAATTAAATATTCAACCCGTGGATTCCGATCTCCGCAGATTCGTTTATCCTACTCACCCCCCAGACCATCAAGAACAACATTTGAGAAACCAATTTCGTCATGTCCGAGTCTTTTTGGTGGTCAAATATTGACTCTATTTTAGGGCCTGTTTACATGGAAGTGGGGGAACCCAGGTGGGTGAGGCTCCCCGCTTAGGTGGGGTAACCCACCTGCCCATATAATCTGACTCATTTTAATTTGATCAAGTTTACATGATAGGTGGCAGGGGTAACCATATGAGAGATTATATGGAAAGGCGGGTTACAACACCTAAGCGGGTTACCTCACCAAGCTGGAATCCCTCACCTCCATGTAAAAAGACTCTAAGTCTCTGTTAAGCCTCGGGCGTTTGCGCAAATGTATTTCATAGCCAGTCATTCTAAAATTAATTCACACCTTTTTTAAATTCCTGGATACAAAAAATTTTCTTAACCCCAAAATCCTGAAAATGTGCGACCCCATTCTAGTACCTCATTTAAAAATGTGCCCCATTATAGTCAATCCAGTTGGGAAAATTAGCGGCGACCCCATCCAGCGGCACATTTCTATCACTAGGAAGAACGCTCCCCGGCGTAATACTCTTCAGTCCCGGATCTAGGTCCAGTCCCTCTAGATTAGACACGCACGGCATTATACAGTGAAACCCCGTTAATATGGCCACTGAGGGGGCCATAGAGAGTGTCTGCATTAACGGGGTGTTCGTATTAAGCGGGTTGAATTGAGAGAAAATTAAGGGCTTTCTTTCCCCAGAGACAAAGCAAACTGTCCGTAATAATGAGGTGTCCGTATATAGCGGGTGCCTGTAAAGAGAGGTTTGACTGTACTTACCTTAATAAACGTCTCGTACGACTCGTCACCAGGCTGAGGGGGATTACAAATTGCACTAACAGCAGCCTACAGATGACAAAAAAGGTCAGCTGGAAAAACACATTTATAATCAGTTAAGACAATCTAAAGAGTTATCACTCACCTGGCCAGCAACTACACTGAGGCCGGGAACAAAAGCCGATTGAGACACTTCCGTATATCTCTATCCCCTCCCCCTTTGTACTCCCCGCTCCCCCAAAGTCATCAGGGGACTTAAGCAAAGACGTTTTTGAGTGACGCACATTAACCGGAAGTGGGCTTTTTGCATCCTTAGGCAGTAGCTTTACCCAACTTTTCGGCAAATCTTCTCTACAAGAGAAAGGACACTTAGCAGTACAATTTTAATAGCGTTAAGCCATGTTAAATGGGAAAAGGCCTGACCTCCGGTTGACGTACGTCGCTCAAAAACGTCTTTGCTTAAGTTCCCTATTGTTGTGTTTTAAACATGCAGACACAAATCTTTTTTCAACTACAAAACCTCATTGATTCAGGGGTGGAAAGATTTACGTCCTTTAAACAGAGTTGAAAAAAATTGTTGATAAAGGCGCGCGTTTTAGACAAGTGTGTCAACTACTTATTAATAATTTGTCCCTGATTGCAGGCATAGTTATAAGAGGAGACTGGTTATGAAAAGCGGCAAACATCAATGATAAAAACAACAGTGCTGCAGTTTATGTTGGAAGCACCCTGAAAGTGTACAATCCTTTGTTTTCTGTTGGCCAATTGTTACGGAATAAATTAATGCAACGTTTTTATTGGTCAATACAATAAAAATGATAGGAATTCTTTTGAACGTTGTGCACTTTCAGGTCCACAAAAAAACATATAACAAAGGAGTCTGACGGGTTTCATAACCATTCCACTCAATTAACTACGTCGCAGGTAAATTTATTGGAACGAAAAAATCTTTACATAAAAAAGATACAAATCCCACAGGACTGGTTCAAAGAGTTCAAGTCCCAGCTCCTCAACTCAATCAACATCGTTTTATAAATCACGTTTTAATGACTTTAATTGTTAAAATACCTGCGCAATAGATGACGGTACATTGCATGGCGGGGAACAATACCTCCTAACTTGGAATAAAACCTCTTTGCTAAATCCTACAAGCTCTATGTAAGCACCCCTCAAACCACACCTAAAAAAGACCAGCATCTAAATTAAAAACAAATAATAATTACAACAAACGTTTCTCACCCAGGCTTCGGTCAGCTATGCCTTTCTATTAGCAGGGTTCAATGGATCCGATCATCCAACTCCATTGTCATTGTTTAATTTGGTCAGAGTATACTTTGGATTTGTTTTGAATGTTTTTTGTTTTTGTTTGTTTGTTTCTTTGTTTAAACCAGGCCACATAGCATATTCTTTCACTGATCCTGCGTTTCAGAAAATTAAGACGAAACCAATTATAAATATACTTCTTGCAATAAATGTCTCATTTTAATACATTCCATATTATTTCGCGGGCGCTACTGGCCATGGGTGTCAGAAATGATAAAACCTTTTTGTGTAGTGATAAAATCTCCGCCATTTCATGAATACAGGCTTGTTGTTGTTGTTGTTGTTTTTGTGACTTATGCTTTCCCTCTGTTGATCGTTATATCATATAAAAGCAATTACTTGTCAGATCAAGACTTACTCGCCATAAAACTCTTTCGAGGCAGAATTTATCGACATCAATTGGAACTTGTTGTATTCGGGACCCAGGTCTCTCAGAACCTTCTTGCAAGAGTGAAACTGGACCTCGTTAGTAAACATTGTTTCTTGGCATGGTACACCCCATCAGCAAATAAAACCAGTTTTTCTCGAGCGCAAAACTTGGTCACTTCCTTAATATTGTCGTAGCTTTAAGACCTGGCCTATAAAGAAAGGAGGCATATACAGCAGTACGACAATTGGTTTTAATCCCGGGGGTACTCTCTATAATGGCTTCAACGGGGAGGCTCCGCCAGAAAGGGGTACCTTTTTGAGACTTCAGGACTGGTATATGAAAGGGTACTTAATTGGACCAGATACGTTTGATCACTGACACTGACAATCAGTCAGTGCTGTTTAAAAAGCAAGCATCTTGCGATCACAAGGAAAAGGAGACTTCTGCACAGAGGCTTATGTGTCCAGGCCGATTACTGATTTAGTACTGCACTTAATTTTTAAAATAGCTTCGCAATACCTGTAGGATTTCCCGGGTTAATAAGTACCAGGCCTCTTGGATTCTGTTATTTGAATTCTTTGTTCTGTCTGGGTACAACGAAGCTGTCAAGGTAATTTAATTAACCAATTAAACCCTAGTAACTTGAAACGATTTATAAATAGAACATAAACAATTGAAAAACTACACTTTCTTTACATCTGATTAGATTGCCTTGAATTCCTTTCTCTTGAAGAAATTTACAGCTTTTTCCTACTGTAAGATATCCTGGGCGTTTTAGTTTATAATACAAGCGATTATCGCTCGTTTTGTTTTTGTTAGGAGTTAGTTGTGACGCGTGACTATTTTTATCGCTTGCAGCTCTTCACCACCCCGGGGGGGTACTGCCATATATGGGCTATATAGGTATGTGCCGCTGTGAAGGGTATGGTTTTCGAGCAGTTTACTCTAGGATAGGATATATAAATCAGAGCGTTTGGCTCTAGAATAGGGTATCATTTTTCAGGAAACTGATCAGTTGGTTGAAGATTTTATCTAGAGAGGTACACAACGAATCTAGGATAGGGGGTTTTGGGGAATTTTCCTTAGCATAGGGTAGGAAAATTCAGGTGAAATTGGCCTGGTAAAGGTTAAGGGTTCCAGGCCCCCCGCGGCACAGCCCCCCCCAAAAATTCCTAAAGCCCCCCCCCCCCCCCCACCCCGGGTCAATGATCTATCAACATATGTAAAATTGACGAAATCGGTTACTCCGTTTCTGAGCTGACGGAGGGTTTGTTTACTACAAAAGAGTCCGCAGTCCTTCTTTTCTCGTTTGGTCCTAATCCCTTATTGTAACAGAACGTCATGGTTTACAATCGCGCTGGCTTAGATAAGAACGAGAGGGGACTGCAAGCACTGCAAGCTGGCTTCTTGTTAACAGTATAGCTGACCCTGTCGCGTTTCATGACCCGTAGAATGACAATAATTTTTTAAATTTCCGGGTAGGTCAAATCACACACTTTATACTGTCACGCTATATTTTTTTTTTCGGGGGGGGGGGGGGGGGGTGGAGGGGGGCAGGGGGATTGGGAGAGGACGGGGTTAAAATAATGCAAATCGTTTCCGGCTTCGAATGGCTAACTTGCTTATTTCTTTATGATAGTGGAATTTAAAAGTTACTATACAGCCCCGACATAAAGTGGTACTCATTTTTCTTGTTACAAAAGTCTTCCAAAAGGGTACAATGTTTCACTCTCATATGAGATTCTATTTGTCACGCAACGGTCGGCGACAAGGTTTTAGTGTGAGTGTGTACATCCGCCCCCTCCCCTCAAAAAAATCGCCTCGTGGCAGCCCTTTTAAAATCGCCTTCTGGCGATTCTTGCCTCGAGCGCTTTAGTCGCCTTTTTCGCTCGTCTCATTCGAATATATTAGCTACCCTACATGATAACTTCCGCGTCCGTTGAAAGGTAGAGGACAAGTAGTTGCCGTACTTTTAAAAATGAGATTGTAGCGGAGGTTTTGTCTCTATATCGAAATTTTCACAATAATGTCAACTGCAAGAATAGTAGGTAGGTGAGTTCATAGTTGAAAAACCCCGAGTTTCTTAGACGAACGAAACGATTACCAGAACTTTCTTGGTAACATTTGCTCTTACGAACAATTATTTTAGAGACGATATCGCTCGGTGCCCCAGTCGTGTCAATCCATGAATCAAAATTCGCCAATCGCTTGCATCAAAAAGCAAGAATCAAAATAGCCTGTTCCAAGTGTTCAGATAGTGGAGAGCGGTGCGATGAAAAGTAGTGGGGGACTAGTGCGCCATATCGTTTTATCAATTGAACAAATTTCTGTGTGATCGACGTTGAAATACATTATACCAATTATTATTATTTTTTTAACATATTACTGATATTACATAGAACAAGGTAAATGATCGTCTACCTAAATGTTCCCACAAGGCAGTCTTCGCAGAAGCGATGGCCACAAACGGTCTGAACAGGATTCCTCATAGCGACCAGACAGATAGAGCAAGTTTGGCCTGGCGACAGTTGATCTACAAACACAAAATCGTATCCTCCATACAGGGGTTCATCAATATTCAATATTCTCTGAATATTCTCGGCTGGTGACTCATGTTGCTCTTGCTCTTCTAACGGAGCCAACATTGGTTCCATCATCGAAGCTAAAGGGAAAGAACAACTCTTAAGGTTCCGGGAAACTTAAGGGCGGAAGAAGATAGCGCCAGTGGTTAGTGAGCAGAATGGTTCGTCATTATCACGATAGCCGTGACGTAAGGTATTATGATCTTTGTTTGTTAAACGTGTTGGACCGTGACTATCAGGATATAAAAAACACCCACGGGATTATAAAACACTTTACTTCCCCTTTTTGCCATCGAAGAAGATGGAAATGGACATTGAATTGCTCATACATTCTGTCAGTTCAACGATTGAGGAGAACTGGACAAAGGCATCGATGAGTTTGTGAGTCAGACAACGAAAAGATTAGTCTCCACTTTGGAGCCCGTACGAGCACTATTTTAGTGGGCTGCTTCAAGGCGGGTCCAGTTTATGAAATACCTTTCATTTTCTCCCCACAGGTATTTCTGGGAAGTCGCAGTGGGGGTGTGCCGTCGGGCTCTCCTAAGGCTTGACACTATTTCAGAGCAATACCTATAAAGTTAATTTAAGGGACGGACCATTAGAAAAGTTATGGGGGGGGGGGGGGAATTTTCGGGCCGCAGGAATTTTTTTTTGTTTTCAATTTCCCCTTATGAATTTTTTTTTGGCCTTGCCCGGAATTTTTTTTGGGTTAATTTGTTTGACAATTTTTTTTTTATTTTATTTTCCCTTGTGACCATTTTTTTTTTTGTACGCCCCCCCCCCCCCCCCCCCCATAAGTTTTCTAATGGTCCGTCCCTAAGGGAGTACCCCCTGGTATTTTTTTTCTACGTCGAGAAAAGGAACACTATCAATCATTAACTTAGTAACAATAAACAGTCCGGGCCATAATTATTTCTGGATATCGGTTTTGTGCTTTGTGATTGATCAAAACCAAAACAAAATAAACTTGGTCGAGAGATAGTGGAAATAAGTAGAACTTGAAGAATTTTTTGACGGCGGCCATTTCGGTAATTGGGCGAATCAAAATCCAAGGAACTTTTGCCTGTGGAATACGAAATCCTGGGTTTTGGAATCCGGAATACAGCTCAGGGAACCCAGAATCCAAATTCCACTGACAAAGACTGGAATCCAGTGCCTGAAATCCGGAATCCACGGCGTTGAAACCACATTCCAAGACTTTCTTGAATTCCCTTACATGGTGCAACATAAGCCGGGGTGAACCCACTGAAACAGCTTGTATCCTTTAAAACCCGCAATACTGGCACGCTCGACTGGTTTTTTACTAATATATTTAAGCTATTTACTCTACTGGCGCAGCTTCCGAAGGTCGGAGATCATTACACTATCCTAGCTAAACCAGTATCAGCTCCTATCTCTACCCACACAGCAGAGAAATCTGTTGTGCGTGATATGCGAGATAGCGTGTGGCGTGCTCTCGGACGATGGATAACTCAAAAGGACTGGACCCCAATTCTCAATGCCTCTTCGTGTGAGCAAAAGTTTCAGCTGCTCAAGTCAGAGCTTGATGGCGCCATTAGTATTTTTCTCCCGCAGAAGATCATAAAGAAACATTTTCTGCATTTTCTAGACATGGAAAGGACTCAGGTGCCTATCGTCATTGGAGAAACAAAGTTCAAGGTGCAATAAAAACAGCAAAACACCACTACTATCAGGAAAAGGTTGCTGAGGTCGAACATGTGAATCCCGCGAAATGGTGGAGGGAAATAAAAAAGCTAGCTGGCCAGGTTGCTAAGCAGGAGTGGTACCATCAGTTCCTTGATGAAGACACAGATATCAAGCGCTTAGCAAATAAGATCAATAGCTATTTTGTTGGGCTGACTGACCATTTCCCACCCCTGTGTCAGGGAGTGCTCCTGCTATCTGTTCCTGATGAATTATTAATTTCAGAGTATGAGGCATACAAGTCCTTGTCCTCACTTCAGACATCGAAAGCAGTCGGCCCTTACAACATACCTAACCGGATTCTGAAAGATTTTGCCTTGGAGTTAGCTCCCCTCGTTTGTGACATTTACAACCAGTCTCTAAGGGAGGGGTACATACCAGCTCTTCTGAAATCGTCTATTGTTACACCTATCCCTAAGGTGTCTCCACCCGGTCTTATCGAACAAGATCTAAGACCTATATCTCTTACCTGTCATGGAGGGCTTTACCTGTTCCAGACTCCTGCCCCAGTTGGAAAAAAAGATCGACCCTTATCAGTTCTCCCGCAAGGGGCATTCTACGACAGATGCCCTTATATATATGCTTCAAGCGATCTACGAGGCAGTTGATAGTGGTGAGGCGTCGGCTCGGATTGTCTTCGCAGATTTTTCTAAGGGGTTTAATTTAATTGATCATTCAATATTGATGCAAGAACTTGCAGATCTTGAAGTTCATCCAGTCCTTTTATCTTGGATTGCGGCATTCTTGACATACCGGAAGCAACCAGCTGCAGTTAGAATCGGAAGAAGTCTGTCAGATTGGTTAACACTAAAATTAGGAGT